TATATTTTTAAAGTAAATGAAATTTCCTGTTGCTCGTCTGAACGGTCCTCATTCCAATAAGATTTTATAATATGACTACCGCAAAGTCATCTCATGAAGCATTTCAAAAATATCTCAAGTATAAAGAAAATTGCCAAGACACTGTGACTTGAGAATTATTAGTTTATTTCAGACAGAAGACGGAATATAAACGTCGCGGAAGCAGTTAAAACATGAAAAGGAACGAGTGGAAGAAGATCCTTATCGAGATAGGATCTCAAATATTTTTGGAGCATTATCAGTTAGAATAAATTATTGATTTTTCGAGAAGTGAGGTTATGTTTACAAGACTAGCAGGAAGTTGTTTCGTATCGGAGATAAAAAAATCGAGCGGAATTGCGATCAATTATCGTTTTACCCATCTCGCAGATGGACCGATCTGGGTATCGAGAGCACACGTGCTTAATTGTTAATTTCACCCAGCGATAAATGAGGCACGCTTCGAGAGAGGACAACAGTAGAGTCGATCAATGAAAAGAGCGTGAATTCAATTCCTTTACACCTGAGATCACGATTACAACGTAAATTTACCTATGAGATATCTCGATTATTTGCATCGCGACAACGCGCCTAAACGGAACAAGCGTATGCGTGTCGACGAGAACATAGTTGCTGATAGTCGGGATGTCACTTGTCAATGCAAAGTCCGTCAGTCTCGAACGCGTTACTCTTTTTTGAAGTCTTACGCGCAATATGCCAAATTATCGACGATTAAGCCAATCACGATCGTTCGACGACGACGTCGACGCGAGCGACTCGACCTGGTGAAATGATCGAGTTCGTCTCGCTAGGAGGAAAAAATCGGAACGAGAAGATCCATGGCGACGATAATGAGGATCGCAAGGGAAACAACCGATCTCGCGGAAGCGTAACAAACGAGATCATTCGGATCTTTGATTTCGTTGTCGAACATGCATTATTGATTCCCGGCCACGAAACCGCGAATCTTGTTCCTGTTCGGAAAAAAAAAGATCAACAACGGTCGAAGCTCTTTCGTCGGACTCATTGACTCTAGAAGCCAAAGTGAATACGAACTTTGGAATCCTTCCCCGCGGAAGAGTGTTGTCACCGCGGCTCGGTCCCGTATCCTCCGCGCGAGAACCGGAGCGATCTCATCTTCTCTCTCTCTTTTTTTCCTCTCTCCTTCTCCTTCTCCCCGTCCTCGAACGTGTCGCGCGGGCACCGACGCGGAACCGCGGGTGAAAATAATGCGTGCTGCTCCGACGACGATGACGATGACGATGACGACGACGACGACGACGACGACGACGATGGCGACGATGATGACGATGACGACGACGTCGATGAGCGAGCCAGACGACGTGAAGCTGTCGAGCTGTACGATACTCTCACAATCCCCTCCCTCCCTTCCCAGCCCCTCGCCGAACCGTAACCCCGATCCACCAATCGCTTTGATGGTAGTAGATATTTACCTGATAGGGATGGGCCTGGTGCTTTTCGAAGTACCTGGAATCATAAGACAACGGACCGTGAGTGAGGGAGGTCGTGGCACGGTGTCCGCCGCCGTCGCGGTCGTTTCCACGGGGAATGGCACCCGAGCGGATCCCCATCGTGGAAACTCGTCGTGCCGCGGGACGTCGTGCGGCGGTTCGTGGCAGTGAGTGCTTGCGATGCGTGTGTACGGTTGAGCGGGTCGTACGGACGAATGGACGGATGTCGGGTGACGAGAGATGAGAGGTGAGGCGAGAGCTAAGTGCAGAGCGAGAGAGAAAGAGAAAGAGAGAGAGAGAGATGGCTGCGTAAGGGAGGTAGGGAGTAAGGCGGGGGAGCGAGAGAGAAAGAGAGAGAGAGAGAGATATTGGTCCGTGTGTCAGTATCGGGTATTTGACGGTAGAGCCCTACCCATCGCTGATCCTTTGTGGTTTCCTCGCATGCATTACCATCAATGCCAGTGTCTGTGGGAAATTCGCGGCCTCGGATGTTCCCTTTTCGGTCGGTCAGTGTCATAAAAACAACATTAACGCTTATTTAGCAGTTAACTTTCTTTCTACCCGGACGCCATGTCACATACGTGCTCGGCCGCTGCCGGGCGACTCAGACGAAATGCTCGTGCGACGACGTGCGCGCACCCCACCGGTGGGGAGAGAGCTCCGGCCACGTCCAGGGACGTGAGACGCGAAGCGTACGGTGGATATTCCTTAATTCCTATAAATAGTGTATACGAGTGTATATACATGTATATACATATATACATATATATATATATATATATATATATATATATATATATATCGCAGCTTTAATATCAATTGTTTCGCCAATTTGTCTTAACAAGCATGACGTGCGATGTATTCAAAAATATTAAACCATACGAATCAACGTCAACAAGAGACTTAACACGAATACACAAAACTACGAATTTAGTCGTTAATTTCGTTGATTTTTCGCAGATATTTCGTTCCGGCGCGTTTTTCAGACAATTAAATTCTCAAAATATTTTTTTGTAATATTCGCGTACCCTTTTACCATTTTGCTTTCGTTAATTAGCAGCAATGTACATGAAGCACATTTTTGTTACGAAAATCTATACGCACCTGACGCGACGGCAGCGCGGCAGTAGCGGATGGTTTGCGCAAAGAATGTGCGCGCAGCCTGCGCCCACGGCGACGTTGCAGCAGGCGCGACGCGAGCGTCGAATTCCACCGTCTATGCAGCAGCGTCAGGGACCACTTTACTCCGTACGAGCTGCGAGCATTGGTCGATAGACGGCGGTAAATGACTAAATAACGCACAGCAAGAAAGCAAATCGAGAATATGTCATCATCAACTACAATGATTGAGCGAGTATGTGTGTTTAATTGTTACGAATTTTCTCGAAAATACACAGCATCTCGCAGAAGGCGGATATATCTAAAAATATAGAAATAATAAATAACAAGATTTGCAATGAAAAATATATAAATCTTTCATGTTTCATCAATTTTAAGATATTCTATTTAAGATGTTCTTTTCTAAATTATTCTTATATATGGATGATTATGTAAAATTTAAAAAATTATATTTTATTTTATTTAAATAACAATTCAAAGATACACATATCTATCTAATATATCTACATCTTATCGATAACATATCTATACATCTTATTGGATTAGAATGTTTAAATAATATAAATTATTTTGTATAGCCGAATTTTGAATTGATAAGCTCAAAATATAAAGAAATTATATTATTATTTACGATTTGTGTTTGTTAATTATAGCATAATTGATTGTAGTTTATGTGATTCTGAAAAAATTATCAATTTTTACTACTTAAACTTACAATTTGATGAAATAAAAATTGAAAATCATCTCAAACATTTCCAAGTTGTTAATATACAACACAGTTAAATACAACATGATTAATTTGTGATTGATTCGTTATTCAGATATGATGTATAAAACTAGAAATTTGTATAGAAATAGAAATCTTCAAGTTATGCTTCATTATAAATTATTATACTACACTTATTATATTATATTATACAATTAAATATTTTCAAATTTTTTTTGAAAATGCTTAATCGTATAATATAATATAATAAGTATAGTATAATATTTTTGAAATATATATTTTATGTATGTATATTACTTTATAGTTACGTTTAAATATCAAGTAAATATATAAATTGAAAAGAAAAATGAGTTATTAGTAATCTCATTTATTCTGATAAAAATTGCCTAAATAATACAAAGTAAAAAATTGGAATATGTCTTTAAGACGTCTTTTATATGTCTTTTTTGTCTTATATACTTGAGAGATTTTCAGCTTTTGTGTTGTCTAGATAAATTTTTGAAATATATTTCCAAAGTTATTGCGAAAATAAGTTCAACAGAAATAACCAATGAAGAACTTTACTACATGGATTTGTTATATTCTGAACGAATGACAAGATATTTTACTTTAAAATTTAGAAGACAGTAATGATTGATGATAATTACATTAATTATTATAATTAATACACTCTGGATATATCAACACTAAATATAATTTATAGAAAACAATGTACAATTTGACGAAATTATACTATAAATATTCGAAAATAATTTTTACATATTATATATAATTAGTGTAGTCTTTAATAGTTGCTAAATATTTTATTGTGCATGTTTATTAAAATTTAACAATAAAAAGACATTCGTTGTCTTATATAAACTTATTTTTATTATCCTTTTTTGATATAAAAATCTGAATTAAATTATACGCTGTTTAAAATTCTGATTACAAAATTATTTCAGATAACTTGAAATATATGCTAATAAATATTATTTTGCGCATAAAACATTAAATGGAGTTAGAATTTTTAAAATATCTATATCTATGATATAAAACTAATAAATTCTTTATACAAAAATGTTATATTTTTATATTCAAATATTTTATATAATATAATATAATTGTAAATTCTTTTATTAATATCTGACATAGAGATTGATTTTACATCATACTTTTTATACACATAAAAATTTTGATAAACTAATGCTGCTGCTGCTGCTGTTCTATTAATATTATACAAAGTGTTTTAAAGTTTGATGAGACTATCAAGGCTTATGATGTTAGGAATACTATTACACGCGTTCAGTTCCGCAGAGAAATTACCTCTCGACACGCAGACGCGACAACGAGGCGTCGAGTCTCGCTATCTGCGCAGCGCTATCTGCGCAACCGCGCCAGGGATCACTTCACTGTGTACGAGTTACGAGTGTCGGTCGGTAGACGGCGCATGGTCAAGCAAGAAATGACCGCCGAATGACGAACGACGACGGAACGAGTGAACAACCGAACCGAGCGTGTCATCGTCGTCGACAGCGATTAACGAGCGAGCGTGAGTGCGTCCTATCCTCGCATTTATAGTCACGAATCTCGAAGATGTTGCGGCACCTCGGACGGCGGATTTAGCTGCAATCACGGTGGACGGAAAGACGACTGCCAGACGCGGCAAGTGCGATCTGGACTCGGAAGAGGCATTCGGCTACTCGGAAGAGAACTCGCTCAACCGAGAAGAATTGATTTCCACATTAACAGACCGCGACACGCGAAGAGAACACGAGTCATAGTGATAAACACTATGATGTAAGATAATATTTCCTCCTCATAGATAATTTAAGATGATGTCAGTTTCCCTATTTCCTCGAAAGAGAACGCGAGGCTATAGTAGGATTCAATAACAGAAGTACGTCGCGATAGCGGTATTAATACCCGTGCCTCTGATACGATATTCGAAATCGGAGAATTGTCATTACTGTTTTGCGGCATTTTTGGATTTATTTTTATCCTTCTTTTCTAATTTTAATAATTTAAATTTTTCATTAATCATATATAACGCGAATTCATATAATGTGTAATCGCTATTTCAAACGTTTGATTTATATATTCTTATGATATTAAACTCGTTGATATCGTTGTAGCATTAAATATAGAATATGTGAAAAATCAATCTTTTTTTATATGTAACAAAGAAAAATTTATTATATATATTTTGATAAATTTATATGCATATTATAATTAATAATTAATTATAATAGCATCAACAATTATAAGTCACGAATCTCGAAGATCTCATTTTTCTATAAAAAAATAGAATTTTACTTAATTGAAATAGAAAAAAACTTATAATTCAATTATACAACTTATAATTCAAAACATTAAAAATTTCATTAACATTAAAATGTGAATAAAAATATTGAATATGGATTCTTGCATTACATATATCATAAATTTTTTAATTACAGAAAATTTATGCCATAACAGAGTTACAGAGGAAGATATCGTTATGGATATGAATTCTAAATGTCAAAGCAGCAAGAATGCAAAAACATATGTAAAAGCTCAACAATCGGAAGATATCACAGTAAATAATAACACAATTGAAGAAATCTTTCCATGGTTATCAAAATTCAATAAAATTATACATTCATGCACAGGAAATAGAAATTATCGACATCTTGAACGATTGCTTTTACTCTATACCCAGTAAGATTATTAGTTACATTTTAGTTAGCAAGATTTAATACAACACATTCAATTGCTAAATCTTATGAATAGAAATTTCAAGTGTGTGTGGTGTGTGTGTGTGCGCGCGCGCGTGCGTGTGCGTGCATATATAAGTTGGCCAATTGGATTTGGAAGATACATATGAAAACTATATAATATTACATATTACATATGTAATTTTGCAATTGTCATATTTCAGGAATATTCTTTCTAGCATACCAGAGAGTAATGTCAAGTTTAATGATGCAATTAATTTCAAAAATCATATTAATAATATGTTAATATTTTTTCACTTATATTGGCTTGATATAAAACAGGTATCATTAGTTTCAACGTTTCTTGCTATTTCATAAAATTGAATCTAAATATAGTGGAAATATTAATATTCTACTTTCTCTCAGGATATAACTGATCATAGCCCATATTTAAATAAAATATCGGTTTTGTTAAATTTATATATAGACATGGAATTAAAATCTTTCATGAAAAAAAGAACTAGTTATGATAGAGATTCTTCTAAAATTGTTGCAAAGATTCTTGCAGCATTGTACATATACTTAAGTAAGTGTAAAAAAATTTGATTTTACATGAATTGATCATTTGTTGATGGGTTGTTGTATCTAATGTCAAATTGTTTACAGATAACTCGGAAGAGCATATTTTCAGAGTATTACTTAGAATTAAACATACGACAGAAAAATATAGAAAAATCTGCAATCATATATTTATGTATGTAAATGTTTCTTTAACATTATAAAGATTTGAGTAGAAATATCTCTTAATTTCGACGATATTAAAATAATATAAAATCTTGTATTCACTCTACATAGGAAGAGCTTTACTAATCTCCAAACAAAGACAACATCTATAACTGATGTAGCTTATGTCAGATACTTACTTGCCTTTAAGATGTGGAGAAAAATGGAAGAAACTTCTGATAAAAAAGAAAGAATTAACAAGTTAGCTCTAATGTTGCTAGGACCGCGTATGCCAAACTTGCAAGATGAATTATTAGAATTTGTGCCTAAACCTCCTAGTCAAGATAATGAAACGCTATGGTTAATACAGTCAAATTCATTTGATTTAAAACAAGTTCATAACCATTTCCTGTTATTCGAAGACAAAATGGACTCTATAAGTTCACAATGTGTCAAGACAATTCATCCTAATCAGAGCAGTTCAAAATCTCAGGTAATATATATATGTTGGTTTAGTTTAATTCGTTAATTTCTCATCTCAAATTATATACAAAGAATCTTTATTTTTATTAAATATATTAAAAAGTGTAATAATACAAATTTTAATATATTTGATATATTTAATATTTTTTTCAGAAGCTTCAAGTAAATTCGCTATTTCGTCGAAACAACTTTAATGGAGAAACATCTGATCAAAAAATAAATAAAGAATATTTAGATGGCTTGCAAAACAATAATATGCTATCAATTAATGAAAACAAATCTTTGGATCAAACTTATTTACAAAAAAAAGGAACAAGAAACCTTAAACAGCTCAAGAAAATAAGAAAAAAGCCAAGAAAAATAATTATTGATTTAACTGGAGATGACGAGATAGACATTCCTTGCAAAATAAAAAGAAAAAAGACCAAACGAAATTCGGAATGTTTGAAAGCTACAAAAAACATAAGTAAAAAGCATATCTGGAAATATTCAAGCAATTTCGCGACTGGTGAAATTAAAAAATGTTCTAATGGAGATAACAAAAACCTGGGAGAAAAGATTAATTTGCAATGTAAACCTGTTTACAATATTAAAATTAATGACAGTGCAGAAAATTGTACTTCAATTAATAACAAATCTTGCTTAAGTGATATCTATTATAATAATGTTCAAAAGAATGAACATGTAAATATAGCAAAAAATCAGATGAATTCCTGCTTGGAATTTGTGAAAGGGGACGAAAACAATTTATTATTCAAAACGTGCCAAAATAATATTATAGATCAGCATTCTTTCAAGCAAGAACTACCAACGAGCATGAATTATAATGCAATGCAAAAATCACACAAATATTATAATACAATGCCTGGTGATGTACATGATATTAATCATCTTGTAATAAAGAAATTGAAATCTATAATAAATGATCATAGTTCACAAATTACAGAAATTATAAAGCAGAAAGTATGTCATCAAGTTAATGAATGTCCAAATTGTTATGCGAAAATTATGCCATTTGTGTTTGCTAATAATGACATTACTGCAGCAAAAGCACAAGAAACTTTGCATAATACGTTTAATGATAATGAAAATGATAAATTGGCCTCCGACACCAATGTAATTTATACTCTAAATGATTGCAATAAATGTGTTTACGTTGTAAATCATACATCATTCGACGAACGTGTCATGACTGTACATGCTGAGAAGAAAATTCAACATCTAGATAAATCCAATGACACGTGTACTGTTTCGACTACATTTACGGAAGATCAGATTGTAGAGCCATCATATAATCAACATGTCAATCTTGAAAACATGAGAATGAATAATTATGATAACGCCGCTAAATACTCTGAAGCTACAATGAAGGAACAAGAAAATGATTGCGATTCTTCAATATTAAATGATCGATTACATTATTCAGAATCTTACACATTTAACATTAATTCTTTCGACATTGGTTCGAACACAGAAGTAGGTTACGATCGGAAAAGTTTTCCAAAGATAGAAAAAACTGATGAAATAACGAAGATTGACGATGTAGATAACTTGGAGCACATGAATTTCTTAAATAATATGCAAAGTGAAATTCCTCCAGATGATTTTCTCCAACAATCTTCTGAACTGTCTCAAATTAATTTAATCGGTATATCAACCAAAAAATCATCCATATATATCGACAATGATATCACTGATAAGTACATTTATATTACAGATACTGGTGACCACGTTATGAATACGAATGTTGAAAAGCGAATGCAGTATCTAGATAATTCTAACGACATCTGTACTGTCTCAACTACGTTCACTGGAGACCAAATTGTAGAGGATGATTATGTCAATACTGATGATAGAAGAAAGTATGAAAATGACTCAAAGTATTCTGCTTCAAAGGAAGCTGCAATCAAGGAACAACAAGAAAGAAACGATTGCGATACATCAATGTCAAACGAACGGTTACATTCCTCCGAACTTTTTACATTTGATATCGACTCTTTTGAAATAGATTCAAAAGAAGCTAGTGAGATAATGAAGACTGATTATATAAACGACTTTGAAAATATCAGTTTCTTACATAATATTGAAACTCTGGAACATATATTATCGAACAATACCACCACTAACAATACAACCACTAACTTCCTATCTCTGAAACAGTCTCTGTTTGAATCAGTATATACAGATACATCTTCAGATCATAATGTACATACAGATATATCTTTTAATGATACATATTTAAATGAAAAAAATGTCCTATGCAATAATCAAAACGATACTATTGATAGTAGCATAGATCTAGTAACTTCTCATTTAAATACCGACGATACCTTTTCGCGATTACCAACAAAATCTGATAAATCCATGTTAGTAGATCATAATAAGTTTTAACACAACGTCAAGTATCTTTGTTAACTAATCGAAACATTGCTCTTTTAGGTTTCAAGGAGCCGTGGGATTTCGGTATTCTTCCTGATAAGTTAAATAATCATGCCTTAACTAAATGTTTTTATGTTTGCAAGAAAAAAGAAGGCTTTTATATCCTGGAAGATAGACCTGGAAGATAAACCAATCGACAAATAAATTTTATACATCCAAGAATATTTCATCAAATTTGCTAATGAATTACTTTATGTTGCAAAGAAAAGATTCTGCCTCAACATCATATTATACAACATATATATTTGCCTTTGGAGGATTCTGATGATTTTTTTATTTCAATTTCGAATAAGATGGCCAATTCAAAACATCATATGCTTTTTTAACATCATTAAATCGGATATAATAGATTATTTACCGAAGAAACATCTATGAAGAAAGAAGTTGCAGCAACGATTTTTTAATCAAAATTAAATTCTGATGTTAACGAAAAAAGTGATGAAAAATGTCAAGCCTTAAGAGATGGCTAAACTAACTTTCTAAAGAATTTTATACACTTCTGAATACATCTCGATATTGTGAGATTTCTCATCAATAAATCATTATAAAAGGAATATGAATATTCTGCTTGAATGTCTCTGCAACGATATAAGATATAACTTTATTTTGAATGAATTTTAATAGAGCAATTTAATTAAAAATAAATAATGATTATAACCGAAATCATAGATCGTAAATTAACGAATATCATTAAGAAATAGATGTATCAAATTATCGCTCACTGAAGAAACAACTGAGAAGAGAAAAGAAATAGTATCTAGAGTTTTGTTTCATCTAGATACCAATAAAGTTATTCTGGATCAATATTCGAGAAATAATTTTATTTTCTACAATAAAAGGTAACTTAAATCTATATTTTCAGATAAATATATTATTATTTATTTGTATAATTCACAAAACATCACGGAAGATGATCAGGAGATATTACATATATTTCTGAAGATTATCATCTTTTAATATCACAAAATACATTTTAAGAGTTTTACAAGATATTAATATAAAAAATAAAAATTATATTAATAAATTGATATATTGATAATAATATACAGCAATAATTAGAGAGGTTGATGATAAGACTGATTATATATTTTAGATACAATTATAATGTAAAATGTTTAAAACATTATTTTTTAAATCTAATATTTATGTACAAATGAAATCTTATTTATACATTAAGAAAAAAATTTAATATATAGAGAATATTTTTTTAAATACACTTACCATGTAAAGAGAAATATTCAATTAGATACACAAACTTGTTTAAACTGTCATGCTTATATGTAATATATATATTTTTATATGATATTAATATAATTACAAGATTAAAATCATCTACTTAAAGATAATTAGAAATTATATAAAAAAGTAATATTATTTATTTCATAATTACTAATTAGATATTCTATTATGTGATTGAATTATAATACCATATAATACTTATTGATTTCTTATTTCATTTTCAGATCTTATATGCAGAAAAGCGCAAGAAAAATATTGCAGTGGGTAAGTAACATATATTGGATTATACAGAATCTCTCATTTCAAAACTCGGCTTATAATTGAATCCTCAAGAAAGAAGACAAATCGAAAAAATAGAGTTCATTGTTTTCAACTTCTACTGTAATGTATATTATAAAAATGAACGGTTCAGATTTACGAGAATATTTTATTAATAAAATATTGTATCCGACATTAATCTAACAGAGAAATAAAAAAGACAATTGAAAAATATCAGTTTTAAAATAACAATTTTATAAAATACTCTATAATTTTTAATACTTTTTAATTTTAAATACTTTCAATATAATTAATACTTAATATTGGTTGATTTACTTCATATTGGTTCGTATTTTATGTATTGTAATGTAATTTTTATAAATAATAGATTTCTTCGAATAATCTTATAATAGACATAACGAGATTTGCAATGAGAACTCATATATCCCAGCTTCTTGCGATTCAATTTTTTTTAATTTTTAATATACAAATTATCCTTATGTATAATTATATAAAAAATTATATGTATATATTTTATTTAATATAATATATAATATATATATTTTATTTAAATAATAAAGAAAATAAATGTATTTTACGATATCATTTTCCTTAAATTTCTCTTTTACTGAATTAAAACATTTGATATAATTTTTTTATAGCAAAATTGAATCGCAACGTCTAAATATAATTAAAAAAATATGTTTACCATTTGCATTTGTTTATTACAGCGTGATTGATTGTCATTTATGATCCTGAAGAAATCATCAATTTTTAACTACTTGCATAATGCGCATTAAGTCTTATAACTTGATTGAAATAAAAATTGAGCATATGATATTGAAAATCAACTTAAACGCTTCCACAAGTTGTTATTACAATTAAATATACCATGTAACATAACTTGTAAAGTTATTCAAACATGATCTAAAATTAAAAATCTGTAGAGACAGCTCTTTTAAGTTATGCTTTGTTATAAATTATTGTATCATATGATCAAGAAGCACTTCTGACAGATTTTTTAGAAATATGTATTTTATGTGTATATATACAATATTACGCATGTATATTATTTTAATTGCGTTAAATATTAAGTAAATATGTGAATAATGCGAAATACGTGTTAAAAAGGAAGATGAAGTAATTAATAGTAGTAATCTGCCCTGGTAAAAGTTAAATTTCTGAGATATATTTCCGAAGTTACTGCAGAAATAGATTAATAGAAAAAAAAAAACAGTGAAGATTTTTACTACATGGATTATTATATTTGAAGAAAAGACAAAATATTTTACCTTAAATTTTAGATAAGGCAGAAACAATTGACGACGATATATTAATTACACTAAAAATAAAAATTTTTTTCTGTTGGAACAAAACCAGGTGGTTCGTATAGATTTTTGTGTTAAAAATGAATCTGATCATCAAATTTATGTATCACTTTAAGATTCAAAATTAATAAGTTATAAAGTTTGCAAAAAAGTATACAAAAAAAATATTGTGTATAAAAGAGCGTATAATGTAAATTTTATGATATATTTAATTGTGTATACAAGAAAACAAAATTTTAATTAATTATCGATATTCGAAAAAAATAATATTGTAAACAGAAAAACTCCCCGAAAATAAAAGGCGATAGAATTCGAATTTTTGGTGTTTCTATCAAGTTTCGTAATTTTTTCATTTGAAAGTAAACAAAATTATTTTTTTAATGTGCATGATAAAATATGTATTATATATTCTGTTTTATACAATTATATATTCTTATCGTTTCGTTTGATGTTAAATTATGAGTCATTATATTTGAAATCCTGACATACATAAATTTGAAAGTTTTTAGCATTCAAAAATCTGCATAAAATACTTAATTCCAAAGACAGAAAGAGACTTTTCTTTAATAGACTAATGTTATTAGAACTAATGATTCTCCGAATCATGATATATCAATATTGAATATAATCTGAACAAGTTTCATAGTTTGACGAAACCATACACACACACACACACACACACACACATACATATATATAATTAGAAATAATTTTCATATATTATGTATAACTAGTGTATACTGCCTTTCTCATTCTTTTTTTAGCTTACTTTAATCATTAGCGAAATAATATACGACACTAGATAAAAGTGAGTCGCTAAATATTTTATTGTGCGCGTTTATTGCTACTTGGCAATAAAAAGACATTTACTCTCTTATGTAATTTATTTTTAATGCACTTTTCTCTGCCATATAAAAATCTAACCAAATCTACATAAAGTCTTTTGATTAAGCTGATAAGACTATTTTTAATTAAATAACTTGAGATATTTAGAGGAAGAATTTATAAGTATTACTTTGTGCATAATTATTAGATGGAGTTAAGAGTTTTTGTCTAGTCTAGTCGCAATGAGATTAATAAGTCTCTATGCAAAGAAGAATCCTATGACATTTAGTATCGAGATATATTATATATTTCTTCATTGATATCTGATAGACTGATTTGATTTGTACCTTAGATTTTTTACAAAAAAAAATCTCTTTGATAAAAATGTATAATTACAGTATTAGACAAAGTATTTTACAATTTGACGAGGCTATCATGGATTATGATGTTAAAAATACCGTTATGCAAGTTCGCAAAAATAATTTGTCGTGAATAGATTTGATAAAAAGCAAGTTTAGAAAATGCAATATAATCTCTATTCCATTTGCATTTTCGAAATTTGCTTTACCAAACCAAAGTGATTATATAGATAAAAAGTTATTTATTATCGTAAATTATGCAAGATTGGATAGACATGTTGCCTCGTTTCTGATATAACTCAAAATGTTTAGAGTAACAAGTAACTCTTAAGGACAGTTACATTCCTATTTTTTCATATATTTTAGTTTAAAGTGAAAATTTTACAAAATAAAATAACAGAATTAATACTTGCCAAGTTGAGGAGAGATGATCTGTTTTTTATATTAAATTCCCCATGATTAAAATTAAGTACAAATATTTCTTTAGGATTTTAGAAAACAGAATAGAAAATACTTTTAGCAAAATAGAAAAGACGAAACATTGTGTTAAATGTTTGCAAAATAGATAATAACTATTTTAAATTGCATGAGTTGCAGAAGAAAAGATTTTGTATCAAAGTTGCAGATTATATGAGCATATAGAAAATGATCATAAATTCAAACACACATTTTACATGAGAATATAAAGATTTATGATCATTAGATTGTACATCTCGAATATTTTATATTTATTGTAATAATCTCATTTTACTGAATGGATCACTCTATATTCTAAAATATATATACATTATAACATAACATTTAATTTGAAAAATTTCAAAGTTTACAGCTAATATAATAAATAAATAAAATATATTCTCTGGAATAAGTCTATCTGAGAGATAGTTTTACTGGTTCTAAATAAATATAACAATTATAGTGAGAGAAATGGTGTAAACGCAGAAAAACTGCAGATGAATATGTATTTTCAATATAGTACGTTCCAGTATACTAGTAAAAAATCATTACGCATAAATAATAAACAATTTCTACACAAAGCAATAAAATTGTTTCGTTATAAAATTAATTCGTTCCATTTGGTGACGATTTATTTTCTGGGAATGGTGCAATGGAAGCTTCAAAACTGTTTCCTTTATTGCATTATATTGTACATGTTTTTGTTGAATGTACATGTCAGCGCGATTTAAAACGTAATTCTCTAATCTTCTTCTGCAAACTTTATAGTAAAATGTTATTTATTTACAACTTTATCCTCTAGGCCTAAGAACACAGCTGTATCTTTTTCTTTTTTGTCATTCTTATATATACAAAATATTTATGTAATAAATACTGTATGTGTACTGTATAAGGAACTTCTATCAAATTTGTTTAAAAAAAGTCAAACCTGGTTATGCAGTTCATATGCGTAGGAATTTTGAAATAATACATATACATAACTTATTATATGTATATCTATCGAATTATGTGCAAGTTGTTATATTTCTTTGTGAAATATCAATGTATGAAAGACAGAATATGTTTAGACGATTTGTTTTCACATGTTTTTTAAAACAAATTTTCTTGCTTATTATTTGTACTGCATAAAATATTTAAATATGCAGTTAGATTAATAAATATAATGATATTTAGATGAGAGTATTTTGTGAGTCGTAATACATCTCCTAATTTTATCGAATTCACACAAATATTTAGGTATGAAATATTAATGTATCTCATATGAAATTGTTTAAGTCTTCACGTATAGTAAGTTCAATAATTATATATCTGTAGACCTATGATAAATTATTATCATAATCAATTTTCGATATTATTGCGTTTTCATGTGTAAAAAAAAATTGTATTGTGATAAGTTAACCCACGATGTACAACAATGCAGAGACTGAAAAAAAAGAATAAAAGTTCAATTTTTAATACATTCGAGTTATTCATTTATTACGCGCAATTGTACAAAATCAATTCGAGAGAACTCAGTATCTAGTTCTGAAATATTTTACTATAATAATCTATATGAAAAAGGATACGCTATTCTCATTAAAATGCAGAATTTGGTACTTGTATATGCAAGATCATTACTACTATCATTTTAGAAGCATTCAATACATTTTCCTTCACTATATATATTTAGTTCGTAGATACCTGTTTATCTAGTATAGAATATAGAATATATGTTTGGGAACAGATATTGAAATCTCGTTAATCTTATCTGCTTGAAAAAAATAACTGCAATATAACAGCGTAATAAACACATTTAAATGTGATCAACATATATATCTAAAAACATATTTACAGTTCTCGGACGATATTATTAGTGTAATAAAAAATGCTTTACTAAAAACTGAAAGGAAAAATTATGATAATTAGATACACTTGTAAAATAAACTAGTGTGTGTGATTAAAAGAAGTAACTGTACTCATGTGAACTATAAACGAACTATAAACTTGCCGAATATTTTTCGCTTTTACCCTGTTGAGAGGTATAGTATATTCTATTTTTAGTTAATAAGTATACGTATATATACTTATGTAAAATATAATGAACCGATGCTGCGAGCATCAAAAGCATATTAATGTTTTTACCCTGTTGAGAGTTTCTAACATTTCTAATCTTATTTCATATAGGTAATAGCGAATCTATAATTCCAGTGAATATAATATATAGAGAGAGGTAAATATATTAATATTTCCATATGTGCAGTATATTTACCTCGATTTTTTATGCAGTCGACATTTTATGTAATGCACATAATGTACAAATATAGGTAAATACAGGTTTATTTATATCATTACGAAAGAGATGTTCTATGCATACACAATACTGAATTTTTGATGAACACGAATTAATGAGGCATCTGATGTAAAGTACTTTACTATACTAACTTGATTAATGTTTAAGACGTCAGACTTTCCTTAATAAATGCTTTATGCATACAATAATTTATTTATGATTAATAATCTATTTATATTCGATCCATATGTATGAAGACTTTTGGCAATTTTGATAAAAACTAATTATTTATAGCTATAGTAACTTATAAATTTATTTGTGTTAAACTTAAGCCTATCAGACTCATCGCATTATAAATTAATAAATAAATAGTAACAATAAGAAACATCGGTAATGAAAAAAATGCGCCTTTCTTCAGTCAAGAGTATAAGAAATATCATTTAAAACAAAACAATTAATGAAAATGAGGGAATAGTATTGTAGTTAATACATAAGAGGTACAGCAGTCTACAATAAAAAAATTCTCTAACTACAATCATTTTTACGAAGATGAATAAATGTACATCAATGACAAGTGTGACAGTGACAAGTAATCTATCGAATAGACTACTTAACAAGGTACATCTCCTTTTTGTACAACAAAATGTTAGCTACTGCTTAGCTAATGATCACAGATATGAGATCAGGTATAGGGATATGGCACTGAAGTTATGCATTACTTGAAACAAATCTATCTCGAATTAAACGTAGTTAGGATATTCATATTAAAATAATATAGTGATGCTGACTGGTTCAGGTTTAACACAGGTTTAACACAGGGCCTGCAATATGACTCAGATCAAATACACGTTATAACAGAAAAGAGCTCAATAATAATAGATACTCTGAAACCATTAACATAGGAGTAAATAGATAGAAGTCAATAAACGTGAGCAAATTTTCCATAAGAACCGATTACAATATCATAATAGCACTTAAAAAAATTATATTGTTCTTAAAATTTTATTTCATAAAAAATTCATGTTAAAATGTAATATAATTTAATTAAATGCCATATATTAATGTTAATCAGTTCTTAAAGTAAGATTCCAGACATATGAACTGAAATATTGAATAATTACATTAGAAACAAGCTATACGATGCTTGCTAATTGTAAAGCTTTTCTATCTTGGTAACTATCGATATTTAAATTGTGCATTTTTCTTTGCATGCCTCAATTTCATTTTATTTATCAAGCTCGATTAGGTCATTTTATTTTTTTAAAATACGTAGCTTGTGTAGCCCTCGCGTAGCTCGTATTTTAACGAAAAATGGACATTTGTATTACAAGAAAAATATATGAATTACTTTCAATTATGTAGCGTACTATCTCTTCTTTTTTTTTCAACGGGACCTGAAATTTCTTGTTATGTACGAATCAGCTGATTAACTACTTATTTTGATAGGTACCTGTATGTATATGTAAGTTTATATTAAACAATAATTTTTTTCCTGATATAATATAGGGCTGCATCTCTATATATAATAAGAGGACAGATTATAAAGTGGAAGAAATTAAACATTTCCAATTTTTATAATTGTACGGCAATACAAATAATTTTGCACCATTTAGCGAATTTATTGACATTATGTGCTTGCATTAAACACTTGCCCAAAGTTACTCAAGTATAAGCGGGTAATTAATCTGAAATACAAAATATATGCTATAAAAATATGTATGAAACCGCATATATGTATATCTAAACAATTATTATAACTCGGCAAAACTATTCATATTAAATAACACTGTAACTACGGAATTTAATATCTAAATTTTGTTACGAGACATTTGATATACATAACTGTATATACACATAATTACCTATGCAAATATGCTTCTGGTACTTTATGTATCTTGTTTTTGTTTAATGAATTTGAGATTTTTAGATTTTTTATACACTCTTAACTTTCAATCATCAATCTGGTCGTATTATATTCCTGAATCTAATTTTGTATTCTTCAGGAAACTGGAAGAATTTATATAGAATTATCATCATAAATCATAAATATCATTCATGCAAAATAAAATACAATAATAATATCTGCAATATTTTCCTATTCTACAGTAATGATGTATAAAAAGAGTAACGATAATAAATAAGTAAAGATAATAATGATAATTAA